TGACAACCAGGTACCATAGAACTCTGTGGTTAAGCGTGTTTGACTTCCGGCCGGCAATCCCGGGATGGGTGACCCCCTGGGAAGTAAGTATAGTGCAACGCTTAGATCCAACAATTGGTATCAGAGCCGAATCCAGTCACAGGTGGGATGTGGGCGTAGGTCGGGCCAAGTCCAATCCAAGGAGAAGCATAGTGCAGCGCTGAGATCCAACAGCTTGATCCATGCTATAAATTTCCCCCGTATAGCTACTAGCTACTTTATATAGGTAATTCTTATAAGAGTAATAAGACAAGCATATATGTATGTCTATTGAAGAAATCAGTAGGTCAGAAGCAATATTTTGGAGTGACATAAATCTATAATTTATGCTAAAATTAAAGGTTATAAATTTGATTTTTAACTTCATAATTAAATGTACAAAATAAAAAGTGAAACAATCATTGTGTCACACATCATATATTTTATATATAAGAAAATATCTATGAAGCAATTAGTATGTCACGCACTGTTATATTGACTATAAAGCTAATTAAATGCAATTTGTGCTGATGATATATTGATAAAGAAAATTAAATGAAGACGCTCTGTTCACTTTAATTTAAAGCTTAGGAACATAAAAGTTAAATTTAAAGAAACAAGTTTCATATCTATTTTGAGTACTAGTAGTTTCATATCTATTTTAATTTGCCTTCAATTTTTCAAGTGAAATGAGTTAAATATCTACTAAATATAAAAAAAAAAAAAAAAAAAAAAGAAATCAACGTTAGTAAGGTTCTAACTGGAATAAAAAATGTGCTGGTGTAATTGTTTGTTTTCATTAGTTCTACCTTTTTTTAATTTTTTTTTGTACAATCATAATGTCTTATCAAGCTTGTTAATACAACAGATGGAGTAGCATGAAATCAATATACCACCAGTCCATCACAAATTTCTTTTACAAGTGTAAGGGCAAATTTGGGGGTTAATGACAATTAATTCCTAATTGGAATAAGGTTCAAATTGGCCACTGAACGTAACCTGAAAATGCAATTAGGCCACTGGACGAAAAAAAAGTGCAATTAGGCCACTGAACACTCCAAAAATGTGCAATTTCACCTGATAGCAGGTTACCCTCAATTTTAGCAGGTTATCTGCTTACGTGGCAGCTGAGTTGGTATTTTTAATAAATTTTAATTAATTTTTAATAAATTTTAATAATAACTTTTTATTAAATTTTTTTTAAAAAAAATAAAAACGACTTTATTTTATTTTGTATTTAATTTTTTCCAATTTTTTATAAAATTATTATTAAAATTAATTATTAAAAATTATTTAAAAATTATTAAAAATGCCAACTAAGCTGCCATGTAAGCAGGTAACCTGCTAAAATTGATGGTAACCTGCTATCCGGTAAAATTGCATACGTTTGGAGAGTTTAGTGGCCTAATTGCACATTTTTTGAGTGTTCAATGGCCTAATTGCACTTTTTTTTTTTTTTTTTTTTTTTCGTTCAGTGGCCTAATTGCATTTTCATGTTACGTCCAGTGGCCAATTTGAACCTTATTCCTTCCTAATTTATTGTTTGTCTTTCATCTCTCCACCTAGATGCATGTCCATTATTTTTTTTTTTAAATGAACATTGCAATTATTACTTATATTCTCTAAATATTTGGTAATTTAATAGGTTTATAATAAAGTAAACAAATTAAATTGACTTTATTGTTAATTGGTCGATTATCATAACATATATTTACATTATTTAATTGAGTTAGTATCTGTCATTGTTGTAAAATTAATTGAAATTGTCAATATATCAAAGAAAATTTTATGTATTGATTAATCAACACTTATATAATAAATATATATAAACAATCATGTATTGGCCAAGCACCTTGTGCTCAGATAGCACCCGAGTTGGACTCCCATATGGGAGGTTGTGAATTTGAGCTTCAGCATGCAGAGGCGTGTCATAATTGCTCGATGTGCATACTTATAACTAGTAATATAATAAAAATGATTAGTATGAAGCTCACTTGAGATAAATACAGTTGTTTATATAATCTTTTATAAGTCTCTAAATTTATAATAAAACATTTTCCCAAAGTGACTTACAAATTAAACTCACCTTTGCTATACTTAACAACTTATTGTCCGGCCTATACAAAGCCATGATGTACTTGACTAGCATGGTTATATGATATAAGAAACCATGCATTCTCCTCAACATTCTTTACATGTAGTTTGAATACAGTATATGAGGAATCTATACTACTAATGTTAAATCTTGGTACACTGACAAATGAGGATATTTGCATAATCAAGTAAAGCTGTTTTGGGAAGTGTAAAATCTGAATTTAATTATTGGCAAGTTACACACTTACGCATAATGGATGGTTAACTAAAAGTCTATACTTGTTAAATCTTATATATATTGCAAGTTGTATTGTTCGAATTTGTTTCCCTCCAATGAGTTTACAAATTACAAGTAAATTCCCTGAAACTTTTACAAAGTCAATACCTTTCCAATGACTCCAATAGTTTCGAGTTGATCTAGATCTATTCAATAGTTTCTAGTTGGAGGAAAAATGGTTGATATATAAAACGTTACGTTGTATATCTCTACACAGTGTTGTAGAAAGAAGCCAGGGATCGAAGTATCAAACTCGTAGACTCCTGAGAAAACCTAAACAAGCTTAGTGCTAGCTTTGTGATCAGGGCATGCACATGTTTGATTTAACCTGTATTTTTATGTGATTGAAAAAAAATGCTAGTGAATTTCCTCAAGTGAAAAAAAAAATTAGAGTGGAGTAGCAGAATTAAATCATCATTCAACCATTCTAAACTGTTCTATCTCATCTTTACTTAACACACTTTATTTTCTTGCACATCTTTAAATTGCTTAACTATTTTCATACATACAAAATGTATTAGTGTGCTCTAGAATATCTCTTTGATCGGTGAATTAAACTCTCATAAAGATTTTTTTTGGCTATATAGTTAAGATTTCAATATAACCTTTATAGATATTACTGTTGAAAAATTAGCTATTGTAGTCAAACACTTGAAGTTGATTTACCTAATTGTCGAACAAGTTTGAAAGCCTTAATAAATTTATTTACCCCTCTAAACTTATTATTACTCACTGAAACCATCATTAACTCTTTTGATTATTATGCATTGGTTTATGTGTGATGACCAAGAAAGTATTTAAGCAGAGCTCAAAGGAGATAGAGTTTATGATTATAAATTATGATTTATATTGTATAATTGAAATGGATTTATTTATTTTATCGGGTTAAATAATTTTTAAAATGCTAGCTCAATACGATCATATTAAACCATGTAAAAAAATTGAATTATTTTAATTCAATGGTCAGATTGGAAACCATAAGCATATAGGCATTATATATATAAACTGCGATAATCACGCTTCTTCACATTAATTATTGGACGGACTAACAATAGCTGCTTAGTGTCTAAGTTTATAGCTAAGTTTACATATTTGGGATGCTTGATAAATAACTGTTAACTGATTGGATTGATAAGTTTCACTAGTTGATGACATTAACTGATTGTAGAAAGATGTTTGATAAATTAGATAGCTGATTACATGCAAAGATTTTTTTAAAAAGCTGATCGAAAAAATTGCTTTGAGCAACTTTTTACATTTTAACGTTTTGAAACAATAAGCTATTACAAAAAACTGTTTAATCAAACATTGTTTAACCAAGTCAAATAGGTAATAATGATCAAATAAGCTAAAATTGACTGATAAGCTAACTATATTACCAAACAAGGTATTTTGTATTGCGGAAATCTCGTAATTTAACTGCATAAACATGTATTTTAGAATTTAGATAGAAAATTTTAAATTCAATTCACATCTTTTTATAAACGTACAAAAAAAAAAAAAAAAGAGCATTCTAGTAAGGCCTCGCTATATGCGCATTTGTTTCGTAATAAGTAAAAATAAATGTGATACTTATTAAAGCAAAAATAAATCTAAAAGTTTTAGGATAAACATGTGACTTTAAGACAGTTGCATACCCAAAGTCAACGATCAAACTCTTGATGTTTGGTTAAATTACGAAACACATGAAAATGGATTACTAAATCAATAATCTAATTACAAAACACATTTTCAACCATTCTAGCGGGAATAATTTTGAAGGACTAAATTAGTGGGAATAATTTTGAAGGACTAATTAAATTATTCCCGGTGGTGGAGGCTTAGATAGATGTTTAGGACTAAAAATGTTTGAGAAAGTAAAGTACAAATACTATCTTGTAAAAAAATCATAAATATTTCAAAAAAAAAATTATTACCTGCTTATAAAACTTCTATCTAACCCTTATTCTAAATAAATTTTTATTTTTATTTTTAGCAATTTGAGTTTCTGTTGTGCATAATTGGAGGGTTTGACAGACTGATTTATGCTTTAGGTTCAGATGATCGAATATTTCAAGGATATATGTTATACAATACAATGTGCTCCAACAGGCAAATTAAACAATAATTCTTACATTCTAATGTTCTATAGGGCTATTATTTATAACAAATTTAATTAAATTTTCTTAATCGTATCCAGGTAGGGTTAACTACACATAGCAGTGTGTGTATATGACAATTTAATGCAATTTACACCAAAGTCGTACACCATATCATTAACTCATTACTAATAAATATGAAAAATAATGATAAGTGTAAAAAATCGCATTAAATAATAAAAGTTTATTTTAAAAACTTAAATGCAAACAACACTTTCTCTGTGGGTACCATCATAAATCTAGCTAAGATTTTCTGCAGAATGTTACCAAACTTTTCTGAAGATTCCTCGAATTTCCATTTCAATGACGACGTGATTAATAAGCTAGATTGAATAAATTAAATGGTGTTTAAGATCAAGAAGGCCAGGAAAGCATAAATGTAGAGAGATTATATTATCACCATTCACCAAATCTGAATTTGGGTTCTGTAATCTGAATCTATGGAAGAAGACAATACAGCTAAATCCCAAACAGTAAAAATCCAAAAAATAATTTTCAGAAATCATTTTTCGATTTTCAATCACACTCTAAAAGGAAAATCCCAAACCTAACTTACAGTAAAGGAAGAACCAAAAAAAGAAAGAATTTTTCAGATATACGCTGTTTCGCCGGCGGTTTGGTTATCCGGTGGGGATCCATCTTCGTCGTTGCTGGCCGCGCCGCCGCCCATGGTTTGATTATTTGCCCTTTGCCTCTCGTACTCCCGGAACTTATGAAGATATCTGGTCATGGCCTCGGCGTAGACGTCGAACCCTATCGAGCTCAGAGCCCAGCAGATGTCGTCGCCGTTCACTGTCTTCCGGTTCTCCTTGTGGCACTTGTCGGAGGCTTCCCCGGTGACGAAGCTTATGAACTCCGACGCGCATTCTTGCATTCTTTCCTTGCCTTCTTTCGAGATTTTAGCGGTCGGTGGTAATATCTTCTTCATGATTCTCCCCACGTTGGCTATTGGCAGCAATTTGTCTTGTTGATCATCCATTCTCTGTGTAACTGATAGTGAAGACGATGCCGTGATGTTCTCTAGAGCAGACACGTTGCACTGCTTGCTCTTAATTTAGAAGCCTCGCTTTATATAACTAGGTCAGCTCAGTTTCATTAAGAATAAGAATCTTGCTATAATGATAGAGATTTTTATTTATAAAGGTAAGAAACATAATTTTAAAAGACATTTGACAGATGAAGATAGAAGTTTAGAAGATCTAGAAAATCTCTATAACTGAGGTAATTGAGTTTAAATCCATTTAGATTTCAAGTTATTGTATTCTATGACAAAAATAAAAATATAATTAAAATTTTTTGTCCAAATATAATGCACAAAAATTTAACAAAGAATACAATTCAAAAGTTTATTTAAGCCATTTTTCGTTAATATTTAAATATAAAATTTCGATGTCAATTTCTTTCTAAAATTTTATTTTCAATCGCATCAATTAAGACCAATATATATATGAATTCAAAAAAATAATAATAGTTATCAATTATAAAAAATAATAGATTATATCTAAAATATTTTTTTTTAAAAAATTAGGGGCCCTGTGCGGTCGGCCTGGCCAAGATCGGCCCAACTAGGATCTAAGTGACTCCCACATATTGTGTTTGGTAAAGTTATATTTTGTTAAGAATAAGTGTAAATAGATTTTGACAATTGAAATGTAATCACGAGATTGGTTCTGTGGGCGGGATGAGAGATTGGCCGGCTATACGCCGTACCCAATGTGTTAATTCACACTATGGTGAAGCCCGACTTCGCCCATGAGTAAAGAGAAAGAAAGCGAGTCAAGAGACTCAAGAGAAAGAAAGTGAGTCATTGAGACTCAAAGAAAAGAAAAGCAAAGAAAGTCATTTATGACAACAAGAAACCTCCAAAGAAAAGTATTCTTTTTGAAAGAGCGTGAAAGTATATTATATATCTTGCAATAGATTGCATGAGTAGTAGCACGAGATTGCTTATTTATATATCTTGCACTAGATTGCATAAGTAGTAGCACGAGATTGCTTATTTATATATCTTGCACTAGATTGCATGAGTAATAGCACGAGATTGCTTATTTATATATCTTGCACTAGATTGCATGAGTAGTAGCACGAGATTGCTTATTTATATGTCTTGCACTAGATTGCATGAGTAGTAGCACGAGATTGCTTATTGATATATCTTGCACGAGATTGCATGAGTAGTATCTGATGGCATGAGTTGCATATTTGATTTATATGAGAAAGCATGAGAGTATTATATTTGAGAAGCTTTAGATTGTTCATAAGATGAGAATGTGATGAGTTGTTTATGATTAAGTATGCCTATTTGAGTATTAGGTTGCAAGCATCTAGAAGTTACGCCAAAGTATGTTAAGTGTTTAAACTTGCTTGAGCAAAGAATGTGGAACCTTGTTTTCCAAAGTATATACTGTACTTACTTTACAGGGTTGAGTGGCGTTATACTTAGCTTCGTGCTAACGGGTTTGCTTGTTATTTGTTGTTTGCTAACCCCTTTCAGGTGGACCAAGCTCGTAGGTACGAGAGAGAGTTTCAAGTTAGACTAGGTAGTTAGATGACTTGTAGTCTAAACTCATGTTTTGGTTGTAGTATCCTATCTTTTGATGGTGCTGGACACCGGGGTTTTATTCCCCTAGATTCTTGGATATTAGTTTGACTTGTTATTGTTTAATTTTACCCTAGCCTGTGCAATCACCGTGGAGAGTGATTGTGGCGGTGACACTCCTTTAAGTTATTTAATAAGTTTTATTCCGCTGCTTAGTTTATCTATAAAGGTTTAGTTTGTTAAGTAAGTTTAAGAAAAAAGGGGGTGTTACAGTGATGATAAAGGTAATCAAAGTGAGGAAGAAACGCCACCTCCACTGATATGATCCTCCAGCCCCTTGATGTTTGAATGGTGAAAGAATCTCACAAAAGAAGCCCCAAACTCTTCATGATTGGCAAAACCAAGTTCTGTGCGCAACTTGCTAGTTTGTACTGATTTTGGGAAGTATTCTTTTGGAATTTTGGGTTTATGGGCAAAAGGGAAACAAAAGAAACGATAGTAGCCTTAGTCACAAAGGCTTGAACAAAATAAATTGAGCTTTGGATGCCACACAATCACTAATAAGGTCCAAAATCAACATATATAACTCAATATAACTCATAAGTTGAGAAGAAAACACATGACTTTCAATTTTCATTAATCAACCAACTGAAATGTACAAGTCTCGACCTATTTATAGCTAATTCTTAAGTTATTAATCTGAAAATGGGTAATAAAAAGTAGGAAAATGTGGAGAACATGGCAGCACATTTCCTACAAAGTAGTTAGAAAAGTGGATCACCATTAACTATGTGGAGATAAAATCTCCATTTAGGTTAAACCTACTCCTATTTCTGCTAGGTGCACAAAAACAAATAAATGACTAATTCAATGTCTTAAAATAATAAAAGCATCCACAAAATATTGGACTTGGTCGGCCCAAATAGGTAATGCTACGAACAAGATCATTTGTCACCCTTTTCTTGCGTACAAATTGTGTGATGCATCCTAAGATCAATTTAATGGATTAATAGCATCCAATTAAATTAACTAAAGATTTTTCTTCCATATCCTTTAGTGTAGTAATGGTCTTCTCCCAATTTATGTTATCCATTAATACACAAATAGTCTTTTTTTTTTTTTTTCACACTTAGTTCGGGCCTGGGTAAGTGTACTATCTGGGAATAGTGAATGATCTTTCTCTAACCTTCCTTATCCTTTAACATGTTCACCTTAGCCTTTAGCATGTTCATCGATGTCTTCATCATCCATTTTCCATACCAGTTAGAGTTCCAAAACCCTATGATGAGTGGACAAAGGATGATCACATTCTCGCAAAGTTAAACAATGACGCAAAGAATGTAATCATGGAAACACTTGAAAAGGTCACAATCAGAAAAATCAAAGGGCACACAACAACTGCAAAATAGATGTGTGACAAAGTTATTAACTCTCCACTGAAAACGAACAAAGAGAATAAGTTAAATATTTGTATCCAAATGTTCGATTCATTTGAGATGCTATCGGGTGAATCCATTAACCAAATGATAACCCATTTTATAAATATTTTGGGCGAACTTTCCAATTTGCAGAAACATTATTCATAACGGGAGATCAACTCCAAAATACTAAGGACTCTACCCAATGAATGATTGTCAAATGTAATAGCCATAAAGAGTAGCAAGGAGTTTTCCACCATTAATATAGAATCCATGTTCTAAGAACTCAAAGACTATGAATATGACATGGCGAGGCTAGACAAGAAAGAGGCTAAAAATGAAAGGCCTACAATGGCTTTGGTTGGAAATGAGACTCCTTCAACGTTAAAAGCATCCAGAAAAACGTCAAGCTCAAGAAAAGAGGAATTAGAAGAAGAGATGACTCTTCTTCTGAAAAAGTTCAAGAAGTTCCTGAAGTATAACCAGGGAAAATGTGATAAAAACTCTAGGAAGCAAAGTTCTTCCTATTGGAAGGTAGGAACGAATCAAGAATTGAAAGAACAAAATATTGATCGTGTGTTATAATTGCAGGAAACTGGGACACTTCAAGGCTCATTCTCCTTACCTTGAATAAGAGAAAAAAGAGCTCTAAAAAGTATGATTGAAATAAGAATTATAAGTCGGATCGGAAGAAGGATGAGAAAAGATCTAGAAGGAAAGCTCTTATCTTAGATGATCAATCGAAAGAAAACAAGTCAATCATCTCCTCTTCTAACTCAGAGCAAGAGACACTCATCTATTTGATGGCCAATGCGAAATAAGAAAAATCCACCAGCTCATCAGAAGAACTAAGCTCATCCGAAGAATCAATATGTGATAGATGTAGAATGGTGGAAATAAATTCAAAGTATCTCATGACAAATGAGAATGATAAAGAACATGTTACTTCCACATCTTCTTCTTCTAAATCTTTAAATAGTGTACCTAAAATTCTCTATGACACATTTCTTAAAATGTCATGCAAGTTTTTTGAGATCCTCATGGAACACAATATTCTAAAATCTCATAATCAATTACTAAAGAGTGATAATTCAAGGATGACTAAGGAAATAAAAACCCTCAATAGTCTCACCTCTAAATTAAACAATCACAACGCCGAATTTAAAAGATTAAAAGAAGAGTGCACAACAAGAAAGATTAGGAAAGAAAAGCTCAGGGAACTTGTAGAACGTTTGTAGGTTGTTCGTTCCAAGTCAATGGATGCCTTACTTAATTGAAATATAAAATCCTTAGGGTGATAGAACCAGAATTGGTTTTGATTCCTCATCTTCTCAGACACCGCCTGCTATCGGACCGGTATTTGTTAAGGAATCAAATCCTCAATTAGTAGATATTGTGGTAAAAGCTCATAACTCAACTCTAGTGGATTATGAAGGAAATAAAAATTAGACTGCTTAGGTTTTAAGAAAATTGCCCAGGCCCCTCAAAACAAATCAAAGAAATTAAAGCAGCTTCTAGAAACCAAGGAAGCTAACGGAAGAAGTCGAAGTCTTCTGAAGATAAAGGAAAGAACAAATCCAGAATGAACAAAAATGATTGGAAAGAATGAGTTCCTACCGGAAGGATCCAACTCTTACCAGAAGAAGATTTCCTGTCGCAAATGTCTCAAAACCACACCAGAGAAACAATGGTAGGGTTTCAATGAATGATGTTGGTAGAGCATTTCCGTTTGATTCTAATTGGATGATGGCTAGTTTCATGCCTAGACCCAAGCCAAGAAACTTCGACAAAGCCAAACCTTCCCAATGGCATAAATAATGTTTTGGGTCAAAATATTTTTAGAGTGATGCTCCAAAACAATTTTTCAATATTCCATTGGATTATGATCTTAAATGGGAACGTAGGATGGATCTAGCTCCTCATGATGGGTTTAGGCTATTTTATAGATCCAAAAGAGTTAACCTCCAAGGACCCAAACTTATTGGGTACCTAAATCTCTTCTAGAGAGCGAAGAGATGCGTCGTGGCAAATGTGTGCATTTTTCA